TAGACTAATACACAAACACAGTCCCCACCCAGATGTTGCTGTATCACTTAACAACATAGGTGATGTGTATAATGGCATGGGAGAACTGACTAAAGCACTTGAAAATCATCAAGAAAGTCTGACAGTGAGAAGACTAATACACAAAGACAGTCCCCACCCATATGTTGCAACCTCACTGAACAAAATAGGTAATGTGTATATTAAGATGGGAGATCTGACTAAAGCACTTGAATATCATCAAGAGAGTCTGACAATGTTAAGACTAATACACAAACACAGTCCCCACCCAGATGTTGCTGTATCACTAAACAACATAGGTGATGTGTATAATGGCATGGGAGAACTGACTAAAGCACTTGAAAATCATCAAGAAAGTCTGACAATGAAAAGACTAATACACAAACACAGTCCCCACCCAGATGTTGCTGTATCACTTAACAACATAGGTGATGTGTATAATGGCATGGGAGAACTGACTAAAGCACTTGAAAATCATCAAGAAAGTCTGACAGTGAGAAGACTAATACACAAAGACAGTCCCCACCCATATGTTGCAACCTCACTGAACAAAATAGGTAATGTGTATATTAAGATGGGAGATCTGACTAAAGCACTTGAATATCATCAAGAGAGTCTGACAATGTTAAGACTAATACACAAACACAGTCCCCACCCAGATGTTGCTAGCTCACTTGGCAACATAGGTAATGTGTATATTGACATGGGAGATCTGACTAAAGCACTTGAATATCATCAAGAAAGTCTGACAATGAGAAGACTAATACACAAAGACAGTCCCCACACAGATATTGCTTCGTCACTTAACAACATAGGTCATGTGTATAATGACATGGGAGATCTGACTAAGGCGATTGAAAATTATCAAGAGAGTCTGACAATGAGAAGACTAATACACAAAGACAGTTCCCACCTAGATGTTGCAACCTCACTCACCAACATAGGTCTTGTGTATAATAACATGGGAGATCTGACTAAAGCACTTGAATATCATCAAGAGAGTCTGACAATGTATAGACTAATACACAAACACAGTCCCCACCCAGATGTTGCAACCTCACTTAACAACATAGGTCTTGTGTATAATAACATGGGAGATCTGACTAAAGCACTTGAATATCATCAAGAGAGTCTGACAATGTTACAACTAATACACAAACACAGTCCCCACCCAGATGTTGCTGTATCACTTAACAAAATAGGTGATGTGTATAATGGCATGGGAGAACTGACTAAAGCACTTGAATATCATCAAGAAAGTCTGACAATGAGAAGACTAATACACAAAGACAGTCCCCATCCAGATGTTGCTATGTCACTTAACAACATAGGTGTTGTGTATGATAATAAGGGAGATCTAACTAAAGCACTTGAATATTTTCAAGAGAGTCTGACAATGTATAGACTAATACACAAACACAGTCCCCACCCAGATGTTGCTATGTCACTTAACAATATAGGTAGTGTGTATAATAATAAGGGAGATCTGACTAAAGCACTTGAATATCATCAAGAAAGTCTGACAGTGTTAAGACTAATACACAAAGACAGTCCCCACCCATATGTTACTACATCACTTAACAACATAGGTCATGTGTATAAAGACATGGGAGAACTGACTAAAGCACTGGAATATCATCAAGAGAGTCTGACAATGTTACGACTAATACAAAACGACAGTCCCCACCCAGCTGTTGCAACCTTACTTAACAACATAGGTGATGTGTATAATGACATGGGAGAACTGACTAAAGCACTTGAATATCATCAAGAAAGTCTGACAATGAGAAGACTAATACACAAAGACAGTCCTCACTCAGATGTTGCAACCTCACTGAACAACATAGGTAATGTGTATATTAAGATGGGAGATCTGACTAAAGCACTTGAATACCATCAAGAAAGTCGGACAATGTTACGACTAATACACAAAGACAGCGCCCACCAAGCTGTTGCAACCTCACTTAACAACATAGGTCATGTGTATGAAGACATGGGAGAACTGACTAAAGCACTGGAATATCATCAAGAGAGTCTGACAATGAGAAGACTAATACACAAACACAGTCCCCACCCAGCTGTTGCAACCTTACTTAACAACATAGGTGATGTGTATAATGGCATGGGAGAACTGACTAAAGCACTGGAATATCATCAAGAAAGTCTGACAATGTATAGACTAATACACAAACACAGTCCCCACCCAGATGTTGCTGTATCACTTAACAACATAGGTGATGCGTATAATGGCATGGGAGAACTGACTAAAGCACTTGAATATCATCAAGAAAGTCTGACAATGAGAAGACTAATACACAAAGACAGTCCCCATCCAGATGTTGCTATGTCACTTAACAATATAGGTAGTGTGTATAATAATAAGGGAGATCTGACTAAAGCACTTGAATATCATCAAGAAAGTCTGACAGTGTTAAGACTAATACACAAAGACAGTCCCCACCCATATGTTGCAACCTCACTGAACAACATAGGTAATGTGTATATTAAGATGGGAGATCTGACTAAAGCACTTGAATATCATCAAGAGAGTCTGACAATGTTAAGACTAATACACAAACACAGTCCCCACCCAGATGTTGCTGTATCACTAAAGAACATAGGTGATGTGTATAATGGCATGGGAGAATTGACTAAAGCACTTGAATATCGTCAAGAAAGTCTGACAATGAGAAGACTAATACACAAAGACAGTCCCCACACAGATATTGCTTCGTCACTTAACAACATAGGTCGTGTGTATAATTACATGGGAGATCTGACTAAGGCGATTGAAAATTATCAAGAGAGTCTGAAAATGAGAAGACTAATACACAAAGACAGTCCCCACCCAGATGTTGCAACCTCACTCAACAACATAGGTCTTGTGTATAATAACATGGGAGATCTGACTAAAGCACTTGAATATCATCAAGAGAGTCTGACAATGTATAGACTAATACACAAACACAGTCCCCACCCAGATTTTGCAACCTCACTTAACAACATAGGTCTTGTGTATAATAACATGGGAGATCTGACTAAAGCACTTGAATATCATCAAGAGAGTCTGACAATGAAAAGACTAATATACAAAGACAGTCCCCACCCAGAAGTTGCTAGCTCACTTGGCAGCATAGGTAATGTGTATATTGACATGGGAGATCTGACTAAAGCACTTGAATATCATCATGAAGGTCTGACAATGAAAAGACTAATAAACAAAGACAGTCCCCACCCAGATGTTGCCTCATCACTTAACAACATAGGTAGCCTGTATAATGACATGGGAAATCTGACTGAAGCGCTAGCATCTCATCAAGAAAGTCTGACAATGAAAAGACTAATACACAAAGACAGTCCTCACCCAGGTGTTGCTGCCTCACTTAACAACATAGGTAATGTGTATATTGACATGGGAGATCTGACTAAAGCACTTGAATATCATCAAGAAAGTTTGACAATGAGAAGACTAATACACAAAGACAGTCCCCACCCAGATGTTGCAATGTCACTTAACAACATAGGTATTGTGTATATTGACATGGGAGATCTGACTAAAGCACTTGAATGTCATCAAGAAAGTCTGACAATGTTGCGACTAATACACAAGGACAGTCCCCACCCAAATGTTGCCTCATCACTTAACAACATAGGTAGTGTGTATAATAAGATGGAAGATCTGACTAAAGCACTTGAATATCATCAAGAAAGTCTGACAATGAGAAGACTAATACACAAAGACAGTCCCCACCCAGATGTTGCTAGCTCACTTGGCAACATAGGTAATGTGTATATTGACATGGGAGATCTGACTAAAGCACTTGAATGTCATCAAGAAAGTCTGACAATGAAAAGACTAATACACAAAGACAGTCCCCACCCAGATGTTGCCTCATCACTTAACAACATAGGTAATGTGTATATTGACATGGGAGATCTGACTAAAGCACTTGAATGCCATCAAGAAAGTCTGACAATGAAAAGACTAATACACAAAGATAGTCCCCACCCAGATGTTGCAATGTCACTTAACAACATAGGTAGTGTGTATAATAACATGGGAGATCTGACTAAAGCACTTGAATATCATCAAGAAAGTTTGACAATGAGAAGACTAATACACAAAGACAGTCCCCACCCAGATGTTGCTACATCACTTAACAACATAGGTAATGTGTATATTGACATTGGAGATCTGACTAAAGCACTTGAATGTCATCAAGAAAGTCTGACAATGAAAAGACTAATACACAAAGACAGTCCTCACCCAGATGTTGCTACATCACTTAACAACATAGGTAATGTGTATATTGACATGGGGGATCTGACTAAAGCACTTGAATGTCATCAAGAAAGTCTGACAATGAAAAGACTAATACACAAAGACAGTCCCCACCCAGATGTTGCTATATCACTTAACAACATAGGTAATGTGTATATTGACATGGGAGATCTGACTAAAGCACTTGAATGTCATCAAGAAAGTCTGACAATGTTGCGACTAATACACAAGGACAGTCCCCACCCAAATGTTGCCTCATCACTTAACAACATAGGTAGTGTGTATAATAAGATGGAAGATCTGACTAAAGCACTTGAATATTATCAAGAAAGTCTGACAATGAGAAGACTAATACACAAAGACAGTCCCCATCCAGATGTTGCAACCTCACTTAACAACATAGGTAATGTGTATATTGACATGGGAGATCTGACTAAAGCACTTGAATGTCATCAAGAAAGTCTGACAATGAAAAGACTAATACACAAAGACAGTCCTCACCCAGGTGTTGCTGCCTCACTTAACAACATAGGTAATGTGTATATTGACATGGGGGATCTGACTAAAGCACTTGAATGTCATCAAGAAAGTCTGACAATGTTGCGACTAATACACAAGGACAGTCCCCACCCAAATGTTGCCTCATCACTTAACAACATAGGTAGTGTGTATAATAAGATGGAAGATCTGACTAAAGCAC